TCACTCAAGGGCCAGGGACTGGTCTACAGAAAACTACAGGCAGCAGAGCATAAGAAGGGTTGCATTATAATGAGATGAGATGACAGCTCAAAATAAAACGAAGAGGTATAAGAACATCGCCCAGTGTCATACACTGTTTTGTTCTGTCCTAGTTTGCGAGATCCTATAACACACCCAAATTTCCTTCACTTTTTTGCTGTTTAGTCTGCATATAAATGTAAAAAATAAATAAATGTAAAGGGCTGCTATAATAAAAAAATAGGGATAAACTAAGGAAAAAAAAACATTTCCATTACTTGAAATAAATGTTCACTGAAATAATAAAATAAGTTTACGTTTTTTTATATTTTATTATTATTTTATATTTTATTTCATCTAGTCTCCAAGGCAACATTTCTCATTTCCATTTAGTTTAACTTGATGTACTAAAATAACTAAACTAAAACTTAAATAAAAATTATAAATTGTTATATTTTTTTACGAAGACTACATTAAAACCACTCCTGTTACATAAAAAAAAAATATACATTATCTTGGGAAAACAAATTATATGGAGTGGAGTTTTCTCCGTGTCACTCATGGTGGGTTCAGAGAAATGTCCACTCAGTAGACAAGCAAGGCGAGGGAGAATTTTAAGACGAAAAAAATAAGTTTTGTGCAGGCTATTTCAAATTGGCATAACAATTAAATATGCTTATACTACTTGTTATGAGGGACAATATATGATAATCTTGCTATGTCAATATCCTAACAAACAGAATAAATAAATACCATTAAATAACGTTTAGTTGCCGATATACATCAAGCTTTTCATGTGACATTGCCAATTTTGTGAAAGGTATACTGTTCATACACAAAAAGTGCATTGAAACCCGGACACACAAAGCTGTTGCTGTGGTAACAAACAACAATACCTTGTACAATACTTGCTTGACTAACATTTATTTGAGGAATTATATTTATAATAGGTTATTGAGTTTGTACTTTCTGATCCTGCACTGCCTATTGATTTAGCTGGTTTTAATAAAGATGTCAATATTGGCTAAAGCTGATTAAGGGAACACTTAAGTTTAATGTACAATGATCATAATGCAAGACAAGAATATCCCTAGTAAAACCTGATAACTGAATGAAATATATTATGAAATATATTGAAAAAAAAATTTGTGTATATTAGATTTAATTTTAAAAATAGATTTAAAAAAAAGATTGTAAATATGGTTTTTGGCAGTTAAATTCCATAGAATTTATGGTTAAACTAGTACATTCATATATAAATTTGATTTATACATTTAACAAAACAATGAAATCATTATATGTAAATAAGCAAAAAACAGGTTTTTAACATATTTGCCAATTTAATAAAAATAAAAAACTTAAATGATTCCATTGCATAAGTATTCATACCCTTATCTGGGACAGTTGAAATTTAGCTCAGGAGCATTCATATTGCTTGTAGATGTTACTACCCTTCGAGTGAAGTTAACCTGTGGCAAATTCAATTGAATGGGTATGATTTGGAAAGAACCTTAATTCCAAGCATCACGTTTGAAGGAAACCAGGCACTGCTCATCACCTGCAGAGTACCATCCCAAAAGTAAAGTGTGGTGGTAGCAGCCTCATGCTGTGGGGCTGTTTTTCAGCGGCAGGGACTGAGGGACTCGTCAGAGTAGAAAACAAGCTCAATGCACCAAAATATTGAGATAGCCTTAATGAAAACCTCAGACTGGGCAGAAGGCTCACCTTCCAACAGGACAATGATCCCATGCACACAGCAAGAGTGGCTTATAGACGACTCGATGTCCTTGTCAATGCCCTTGAGTGGCCCAGCCCCATCCTGGGCTTGGGCCCAATCAAATATTTCTGGAGAAACCTGAAAATGTGCATCTGCCCCCATCCAACCTGACAGAGCTTGAGTTGAGAGGTGAAGCGATGAGGTGAAGAATGGCAGATAATTGCCAAATGCTGATGTGCAAAGCTTGTCGCATCAAACAAAAAAATACTTGAGGCTGTAAAGGTGCTTCCACTAAATATTTAGTTATGAATACTTATGCAATGTACTTATTTCAGTTTTTTTTATTTTTAACAAATTTATGAAGTTGAGGTTTTTGCTTTGTCAATATGGTGTATGGAGTGTAGACTGATGTGGGGAAAAAGTACTTTAAAGCAGTTTATCATAAAGCAGCAACATAAAAAACATGGGGAAAAATGAAGGGGTATGAATACTTTCGCAAGGGACTGTATTACATACAACAATAATAAAACAGTGCATTGACATAAAAAAGGAAATTTACTTTTGGTACTTAAGTACTCTTAAAAGCAAGTACTTCTGTACTTTTACTTAAGTAAAAATCTGTCTTTACAACTTTTACTTGTAATGGAGTAATATTTGACAAGCAGTATCTGCACTTTCACTCAAGTAATGGAGTTGAGTACTTTGTCCGCCTCTGCTTTTCAAGGACTGTCACAGCACTTTGCGTGTCTCATTTATCACTAACCACAAATATCTGCAATTAACCAATGCTGATTCTGCAATATGAAACTGGACATACCGTTTCTGGTTATTATTAAATACACAGTGACCCAAAAAAGTATTTGGACGTTTAAGCTGCACACAATGCATCACATTCCATTGAATACTAAATATCAAGCCATGTGGAAACTGCAAACAACAAATGACGCAAGACTTTTTCTCAGAATGAATTCTACTTTGCTGACCCATTTTTGCAATTACTCTCAACCAAATGGTGTCAAGGTCATTTTAAGTCAATGTATGAAGTCTCAAGTTCACACAAGTGTCCTAGCAGAGTAACCACACAGACACTCTTAAAAACAAAGTTTTCAAAAGTGCATTTTCACATTGATGCCACAGAAGAACCATTTTGGGTTCTCCAAACTTTCAGTGAATAATTTTTAAAAGAACCTTTTTTTTCTCAGTGCATGTGAATTAATAATCTGAAGAACCTTTTTCCACTATAAAGAACCTTTTGTCCAATAGAAAGGGTCCACTGATGTTAAAATGTTCTTCGTGGAACCATCAATGCCAATACCTTTATTTTGAAGAGTGGAGTTTATCACAATAACTACATGAACACATAGTTTGTCATCCAGGAAGTACATCTACTTGGTTTAACTTTTTTTTTTTTTTACTATTGTTTTCCCTGAAAAATGTGCCTTCTTACAAATAAATGGCACTTGGTTTTTATGAGTGATTTTTTTTTTTTTTATTGTCCAAAAGCATGTGAATAACATGTGAGAGATGCATATAGCTCATGGCAGATTGAACTAATTCTTTGCAGCTCTGGAGACTCTGTCCATATCCGGTTTCAGTGCCAGAGAACATTATATTAGAAAAGTAATTGAAGTTTAACAGGTTATAATGAGAAGCTGCTGAAAGCAGCAGATAATGTTGGCCAGTCTAATAACGCTACTTGACTAGCCAACATTGTTTTCCACAGTCTTAGTGAGAAGTGGAGTATCAGCAACAGCATATGATCTGGTATTATATGATAATCCTGTAATTGAACTGGCTACGGAAATTCAGATTTCATTTATCATGTGAGGAAAGTGAGTCGAGCTGACCGACAAGAAGAGTGAGGTGAGACAGACAAGACGATGGCGAAAAATTTAGTTTCAAAACGAAATGCAAAAGCGCCTTTTTGGCAATATTTTACTTTATTTAAACTTTAATATTTGTGAAAAGTGAAAGTAAAATGCGCAAGGGCATTTAGAAGCTATTTAAAAGCGAAAGAAAGTGAGGAAAAGAGGGAAAACCCCAACAAACTAAACAATTCTTTATGGCCAGAATATGACAAATACTTCACGTTTTTGAATTCTGTACACTTGTCCAGTCATTTTTCTTTAACAAAATAAATATCTTCATAGAAAAATTAATTTCTTAGTATCTGCATGTTCTAATGAGTGATATTGTTTCAAATCATGAAACAGGTTTGTGTTGCCTGACTTTGATGACGTATCTTCAGCAGTTTGCAGTGCAGGCTGCAATATTAAAAATATTACATTTTTCTCTCTCTCTCTCTTAGAAATGCACATTTGACAGTAGTAGCAGCTTGAGTTAGGATGCAGATGTAAATTTATGTTTATTATCAAAAAAAAGTAACCTCTGTAAAAATTGTAACAAGCTCATTTTTATATGGTGAAATTTAATTATGCTGACTGTTTGAGTTTTATTAAAATTAACCAATGGTCTTCCATAGTGGCATACGTTTAGATCATGATAACCACAGTGAAAACCCACACATATAGCACCTCAATACCATGGTAAAAATGTAACTATATTGTTTAAATGCATTTAGTATAAATGCACAAACATTATCGCTTAACCACAAAAATACTGTAATTATATTCCATTACTCCTCTAATACATTTAATACACGTCTGTGGTAATGATTTAATAAAATTCAATATGAATATCCCACATTTCTGCTACAATACCATGGTGCAGTTAGAGTTACTATAGTAAATCCATGGTAAATGATGGTGATTTGTAGATTGAAAAGCCTTCTGACTGCATCGTTGCGCAGTGTTTCTCCTGTTTGCCAGCGCCGTTTCATCTGGCTTTAAACTAGTTTATCACCGAGTCATTTGTGTTCTTCTCTGAATCTTCAGGTTATGTGGTCGTCTGATAGAACTACAGTCTGTAGTTAACCTACTTCAGTACTGTCATTATCTTGTGAGCGATTTACAGGTTTTGTGCCATGTTTTTATACTACCACACTTCAATATGATTAAATGTCAATAGCCCATCAAGTTTCAAGGAACCGAATAGCATAACCACAGCAATTCTATATGCTGAGTCTGACAAGTCCAAATAGTAAAAAATGTACCCACCACTTCTTGTGAAAGCCAATTTTGTTCTACCATTTTATAAACCAGCTAGGGAGAATAAAAGCATCTTTCACTATAAAGATTTTTGTTGGTGTATTTTTCTCTCCAGCACAGACTCAGACACGTTCCAGTCGATCACTTTTTCTCGACTTTGCATTTACTGTATGCACTGACAAAATCCCAGGACTGACAGTTAAACCCAACAAGCAATGAAAAACAACTTGACAAAACTTGAAAGACAAAAAGGTTCATTGACCTCAGCAACCTCTACTAACAAGAACTTCAAACCGACAATATCATCATTTACTAAAAGTGTCCTATTGTATGATTCTTTTTTAACTTCTATTACATCCAATAAAAAGAATAATATTACAATTTGATCTCAGGACCAGTAGATGAAAAAAGCACCAGTAACTCTATACACAGTGGAGTCATATTAGTTTATGTAACTATTCAAGCTATATTGTACTATTATTCTATATATTAATATTCTATTAATAAATTGTACTAAGCTGTATTGTAATAATATTCTCTATAAAATGTGAAATACGGTACATCACAACATGCAGAAAAAATATTTCAATAATAATAATAATAATAATAATAACTATTTGTACTAAATGGGAAAGAAAATGCTCTAGACACCTTGCTACTATCAAAATATATAATTTCATATATTTGAATAAAACTGAGTATGGCTCAAATTTCAGTTTGCTGTAACAGAAAAAAGACTGCTAACTCTGATTAAAAAAAGATTCCTCAAAGGCCAATGGGGGGGGAGGGGGGGGGGATAAAAATCACTTCTTTGAATAAAGACAAAGAGGTCAGCACTATCTTCACCAGTGATAACAACATCCATTGACCTTTGTAAAGCAGAGACATCATACGTGTGATAGACGTATTACGTTGGTAGATAAATGACTGCTTCAAATTAATTGTTGAATCACCAGATATGTTGAACTTATATTGTTATTATGTGCTCATACTGATTTATTTATATTCACAACACAACTGGTGAGTGTATTCTAGTTTAAAATTAGCCTATTTAATCTCGAAATCTGCCACAGTTGGTTTGTTAGCCACTGCTAACACTGTAGACTTTTGTTTACTGAACTTGGCCCAGACTTACTCTTAGGCAGTGTCTCAAAACCTAGGGAGGTGTCTACCTAGACAGCATTTTGGCCATGAAGTTTCGCCCAAAAATGCTGTCAAGTAAGCAGCCAACTACGATTTGAGACACAGCCCTACACTTCCGTGACCTGACGCACGACTATCGGTTAGCACGCAAGACTTGTAACAAACAGATGTATCAGATTGCAAAGGAAACACAACGTTGGTTGAACGCTGTTAAGAACCACAGACTGTTAACATGCGCTACAAACTGTGGATAAAAGGTGCATAGACTCCATACTGTTCGATCGGCTATAGTCAACAAGTGGCAGAGCCTGCAGCTTGCATTCACTGCCCAAGTTTGACACAAACAACAGGCACAAGACAAGCTGAACGAGACATGCAAGACTTCTCTCACCTCATAGACACTGGCCTCGGTGGGGTTGGCAGATCCAGCGATATATAAAAACAAGCCCATTTTAAACAGGCTTATAGGACATTACAATGTCTCAGTGTTTACTTTGGTCACAGCGAAAGAGTTGTAAATAATCGTACGAAAGCGTGAAAGGCTCTCGCTCATGCATCGCCCGCCTTCTGCTGTCATTGGGACATGAGGGGAGGCACAGCAGTGGAGCAGCAGCATGAGCTCCGTACCGCTGGTTGCCCCCAACTATTACACAAGCGAGTCCCTGCGAACTGCTCTGAATCTCTCTGCTCATCACTTAATAAGAAAGCTGCTAAAACTACTGTATTGATGGAAAAAATATTGACTTCGATGTAAGGGTTACCTCCTGTGTATTCTTTGAAGTTGACACAATTGTATTTTGCTAAAATGAACGAAATGACTCGAAAAAAGATTCGTTTATTTTGCTGAACGAGACTCAAAGGTCCGAGTCGGTAAAATGATCCGAACTTCCCATCACTACACTTCAGGCACAGCTGGGTGTGGCGCAGTCACATCCTACACCATGTGCGCAACGTGCTTAGATCCGCCCATAGAGGGAGCGTTTAAAGCAGTACTGGGGGTTTGAATGATCTCAGTGACTCGACTCATTTGAATTAAGTTTACGAAAAAGATTAACTTACTGAGACGTTGACCCTTTCTTTAGATTACATCGAAACGCCAATAGGAGTCGACAATGTGTTTTATGTATTTATGGTTTTAATTTAATTATTTAAACTTTCAATTTTAAATGTATTTAAAATTCAATAGTTGAACGCCAGCAATGACAGAGATTTAGAACAAGGCACGGGGAATACAGATTTTTTTTTTTAAATTATTGAGGATATTTTATTGAAGATATTTACGATATGTTAATAGTAAATGTAAATAGAAGGCAGGTACTTTATAATTAGGTTTAAATGTAAGATATATTGTTTTGTGAATGTGGTATATGTCCACCAGACAAACTGGTATCTATCTTCCTATTGTCAGAAATGTCAACAGAAAAAAAAATTGTTGCTGGAATTTGAAGTCCAATGCTGGAATTTGAAGCCAGACATGTCTAGTGTAAATAAAATAGGTGAGAGAGTTTTTGTGTTGTGAGTGAATAATTTACAAATCAACTCAATCGATTCCTTAAAGAGTCATGATGATCAAATTAAACCTACTAGTGTTTAAAGTCGGCATGTAATCAAATTTGAAAATTCTTATATTTGAATGGAATGTGTAGTGTTTATTATAAATAATTTATCCGTGCACTTCATTATTTTTTTACAATTCATGTGACCTTGTAATCTTTAATCAAAAACGTTAACCTCCCCTCCCCCTCAAAACGACTCATCTTCTCTTCCGGTCATGAGTTATGGCGCAAGGGCGGAGCTAGTGACGTGAGGGGTAAACGCTGGGATAAACCAGAGCCATTGAGACATATGCTGTTCTGTGTCAGCTGCGTCACAAGGATACACTGTTTCCGTTAAGATCAAATCACAACAAAGTAGGAAACAGATCCGGCGTAACGCAGCTGACACAGAACAGCATACTTTGTTTATGCACCGGATATTCTCCAAAATGGCACCAGGGTGATGCGGAAGAGACGAATTGTTGAATAAAGTCATTTTTTTTCTTTTTCCTTTTGCGCACAAAAAGTATTCTCGTAGCTGCGTATAATTGCGGATGAGCCACTGATGTCACATGGATTCTTTTACCGATCTCCTTGCTACGTTTCTGGACTTGGGAACATTTCAGTTGCGTTGTTGTCTATGCAGGGTCAGACAGCTCTCAGATTCCATCATAAATATCTTAATTTGTGTTCCGAAGATGAACGAAGGTCTTACGGGTTTGAAACAACACGAAGGTGAGTAATTAATGACATAATTTTCATTTTTGGGTGAACTAACCCTTTAAACGTGTTTCCCCAAAAATGACAACAAAGTACCGGTAGTTCTGTATTTTCATCAATCTTGGTTTAAAAAAAGACTACAGGAAGTCATCAGTACAGACTAATGATGTGATGTCCCCAGACTCCCCATTTTATTTAATTTATTTATTATTTGTGAATAACACCTTCGTTCACGAAAAAGACTCGGTGCGGACTATGATTCGAAACACCAACTCGTCAGTGAAGATCGTATCATATAATGTAATTCTCTTCTTTAATCAGCATTCAAATGTTGTTTGTGTTTTGAACGAATCTTAAGTGAATCAATCTTTCTCCTTATCTTTAAAGATTTGTTCAAAAAGACTAACAAAACATAGCTCAAGCCAATCGATAGATTACCTTTTATAATAGTTTAAAAAAATGTTATTAAATAGTTAATAGTTATTAATTGGAAGCAAAAGTAACAGCTGATAAATTTAACAAGCTTTGAAGATAAAAGAAACTAAAATACGTTTTGAGGTGTTTTAATAATTTACAATTTAAGTACATCAAAAGGTAATAATATTTCTCTCATTAAAAAAAACATCCAATTAAAAGTTTAAGAATTTTGATGCCATTTAATCCAAATTAACAATTCTATAGTGCACTCCCACATTAAAAATGTGATAACAACAACATGATTCCATATAGTTAAAATCATAAGGTGTTCTCATGTAAACCTTGCAGCCATTTAATATAATATGAATCTAGCCTTGTCACCAGTCTCGCTCATGTGGTTCTCTGTACGGTATGCCGAGGTGTTTGAAGACATCCTTCTCTGTCGGTGTGTGTAAAGGAGTTCCCGCCACCAGCTTCACACCAGGCTGCCGCACCACTGCACAGTTCAGCGAGTGCTCTGATAGGCTCATGTGTTTGGTCTTAGCCAATGCCCTCATTGATCGGTTGAAGTGGGCGGAGCCAGTGAAGTACAGAAGAGCACATGCAAATTCAGCATAGGGCACTACAATGATGTCTAGGTGCCTGTGGCACTGTGAAGGGCCTGGAAGACGGCAGATGCCCATGTACTTCTTCTGTTCACCATTCTCCTCATGGCTAACAAGGAAACCTGGATGGAGAAATAAAAATAATAATATCATGAACATAAAATAATAATAAACAAAAGTGATAACTATGGGTTTATTAAATTATTAAAGTCCCCCTGTAGTGAAAATCAAGTTTTTTATGTTGTTTATTTGTCTATGTGGTGTTTTTAATATGCTTTTAGACAAACCATGTGCCAATCCATTAATCAACACCATTGCTGAGTATTTTCTCCTTAAAACTGTAGTTTCCCAATGGCAGTCCCAGAAACGCGGTTTGAAACACGACAAACCATGTGCCAATCTATTAATCAACACCATTGCTGAGTATTTTCTCCTTAAAACTGTAGTTTCCCAATGGCAGTCCCAGAAACGCGGTTTGAAACACCTCGGTTTGCTACGTCACAATCCAATAACCAATCACGTCAAGGGATCGATTCCTATCACTATGCAAAATATACCAATACCAGCACAAAACCAAAAATAAATTAGAGTATAATTTAAAATAAATTCAATTTTGGTTTAATGTGAATTTAGAACCGCTAACTTGCATTATAACCCGTGGCAACAGTGTAAAAAGTAGCCCAGAGTCAGACCCACCTCTCCCACATCGGCGTCTGCACTTCACACGCGTATGCTCGCGGACGCCAGTTGGAATCACAAACGGCTGCATTCAAGTCTTCAAGGCATTTTAGGACACAACATCGTCAAGTAAGTAACTTTAACGACTGTTACAGTATTTACTGTAGTTGTCCGCTAGGTAAAAACATAGTTTTATCGGTCATTATTCGCGTATGCCATTGTTTTGCGTTTACTACAGTTCAGTGGATCAGGAGGACCTGGCTTGTGTGACTGAGTGGAGGCAGGACTAAGGGTGCTTTCACACTTGGTTCGATTGCTTGGTCCGAACCCGAGTTCGATTGCTCCCCCCTCCCCCTGCCCCTGCTGGACTGTGTTCACATTATATTATTTGGGTCCGAACCGCGGTTCGTTTGCGTCATCAAGCCAGCAGCTGTTTACCCCATAATAGCAGTTCACTTCCGTGATTTGGTACGATTGCGTTCACATCAGCAGCGAACCGTACCGGAGTTCACTTGAACCCTACCCCAGACCACTCTTTTTAAGCGGACTCGGGTACGGTTCGCGGGTGCGCACCCGAGTTCGGAAGACCGCGTTCACATCATCCAAACGTACCGAACTCTGACGTCAATCGAACCCGGGTGCGCACCAAAAGTGCTAGTGTGAAAGCACCCTAATTTGCATATTCATAGGTTAGCGTATAGTAAATGAGGCAAGGGTGTAGAGTTATATTCAAGCTATTTTAAGGCATGAGAAAATTATTTTCACAAGAAAAAACATTTAAATATGTCATTTTGATGATCAAAGATAAGTTTTAAGGGATAAAATATTTGACTACAGGGGGACTTTAAATCATAAATCCAAATTATTCTAAACTTTTCTGTGATATAACAGCATACCATTCTGATGGAGGAGGTGCAACACTTTGCTGAAAACACCCTTATGCGATTCTCCATCAGGGTGAGTGATGAGGATGTCCACATCTCCACATGTGCTCTTCCCCCTGCGGTATGAGCCACACGCCACAACCACCAGCTGTGTGTCCACACTGTGAGCTGCCTCCTTCACCTATCAGCCACATAATATCCATATATTTTAGCTCTGTAATTTACTTTATTTCTATATGTTTTTATATAATTGATATAATTTATATACACTACTATTATTTTTAATTACTACTTTAATAGCAATGATGCATTCATTTGATCAAATGTGATAGTTAATGCTAATGCTGTTCTTTAGTCATTTCTATTCATGAATCAGAAAAATTATTTCTGAAGGATCATATGACACTGAAGACTGAAGTAATGGCTGCAGAAAAGTCAGCTTTGCATCACAGGAATAAATAACATTTTAAAATAGAAAATGGTTATTTTAAATTTTAATGATATTTCACAATATTACTGTTTTTACTGTATTGTTGATCAAATAAAAGCAGCCTTGCAGAGCATAAGAGACTCTTACCAAGCTCAAACTTGTCAATGGCTGTGTAACTGATTTTTATTATACATATATATATATATATATATATATATATATATATTATATATATACACACACACATATATATATAATCTTGCATCCTCTTTAGTTGAAAAAAAGCAGTGCATTTTTTAGTGAATTTTTTAAGTTGTGTTCTGAATGTTAATTTTTTTTTTAAACACTAATTTATACCTAGCACTCCAGTCATTTAAATGCTGAAGGTAATAAGTTTACATGCTCTACATATCATTCCTGTCAAGCTTGGAGAGCACATGTTGCACTCATCTTCTTCATCTACCCTTTTTATCTATCAGGTCTGTTAAGAGGAAAACAGTGGGATGTTCCAAGTAATAGTAAGAAAACAAGTGGCTTGGGCCCAAGACTCTGTAAGGGAGCTCAGTAGCTTCTGACTTATGAAACGCCAGCTTTCAAGAGCTCCCACTCTTCCTATGGAACGACAGACTCACTAACAATCTCTGTTATGTCCATTAGCTAACCAAGGAAGATTGACAGTTTTGCTG